ACCTGTCGAGCTGTCGTCCCCCTATAGCACAATACACCTCTAATTAACACTTTCCCAACTAGGATTGACCACACTATAACAAGTCAATCTAGGTCAACGCTGGTCAATGGTCAACGATCAACTTTGACCGGACTCGGCGAGTACCCAGGCGACTCGGCGAGTCCAGTTAGACTCAGTCCACCTGTCCATTCTGACTCCCCCTTGACTCACTGAGTCCACCTTTCCCAACTCGGCGAGGCCACTCACAGCGTGGTCGGGCAACATTCATGCTACTCGCCGAGTCTGTTCTTCGGACTCGGCGAGTCCATGCCATGCACTGACTCAATCTTGCTCTAAAGGTCAGATCCAGTTCATTAATCCATAGATCCAGTCCCTCCAAGCTCATTTAGCACGTAAAGTTACAATCTTGATGCACATACAACCTCTATATGAAACATATATGATGTTTATGACTCAAATACTACAACACAAGGTCAAAGACTCTATTGTCACTCATAAAGCTTGATGAGTGAGGCTCTCTGGACCTCTATGGATCCAGATCCATGGCCTCAACTCAAAGAAGTAACCAATGGGCATCAAATCATCCCATAAATGACCACCACAAGCCCTAAATTGCATCATGCTTCACTAAACAGAAAATGGTCCGAGATAATACCTCTAGAGTGATGATCTAAGCTCCAAATCCACGAGGATAGCAACCTCCTTTGCTTCCTCTTGCCTAGGGTATCCTTCTTCTTGCTAAATATCACACACAAGATCAAGAATGGCTCCTTTCTCTTCACAAATAGCTCAAGAACACAAGGGTCACTCACTGAGGGTTGGGTGAGCACAAATGATGGCCATAAGGCCCTTTAAATAGGCCTCAAACCCGGAGATTTAGGGTTTCATTACACAACGCAGACTCGCCGAGTCCATATCCTGGACTCGCCGAGTCCAGGTGCGCACCAATGTTCAATTCCGCGTCTCTACTCGGCGAGTCTGAGCTCCAACTCACCGAGTCCCTCTCACAATATGACAAAATTAGATTTACAAGATACCTGGTAAAATCCGGATGTTACAAGAGGAGAAGGAGACCAGGCATCTTTGTGTCATCTCAACGTTTTCCTTGAGGTATAGCTCGTTTCCCCTCTGTTTTTAAGCTTGTAATCTCTTTTAGCTTCATAGGAGTCCTTCTTGGGCTTTTCCCCAAGCTTGTTTGTGCTTTGTGGGTTGTAATAAGTTGTTAGCCTTTAGATCTAGGCATGATTTAGTCCCTGGAGCTTGGATCTAATACCTTTATGGGGTCATATTGCATGAAAGCCCTAGATCTACCTCTTTTGGTGCACTTTGAGCCTTAAAATCCATATTGGTGAATATCTACACGTAAAGTTGGAAACTTTACGTGTGATTTGTGTCCTAGAAGCCCAGATCTGTGAATGGCATGGACTGGAATCGAGCAAATCGGTGTATTTGATGGATGCATGGCTGCGACTCGGCGAGTCGCATATGTGACTCGACGAGTCTGGTCGCGAGTCACTGAATTGGTCCCTTCATGATGTGTCGAGTTGAGCCGTGAGTCACAGGGGGTGACTCGGTTAGTTGGAAGCTGAACTCACCCATGTTAGGACTCGGCGAGTCAATGCCCTGACTCGGCGAGTCCAAGGCAATCTTCATAGATCAAGAACAGACTCGGCGAGTTGTTTATACAACTCGGCGAGTCTTAGCATATGTGTTCTTCGAATGAAGATGAACTCGACGAGTTGTTCATACAACTCGGTGAATAGGATGAAGGAGTTGAATGTCAGTTTAGAAGATGAACCCATCGAGTCAAAGCCCAACTCGACGAGTAGAATCAGGGACCCAGGACAATAGTCTGGACAGGGACTCGGCGAGTGGAGATCCACTCGGCGAGTCGGGTCAACTAAAAGTTGACTTCGAATTGACATAGGGCTAGACCAGGGGTAAAAAGGTCTTTTTACCCAAAGTACAGTTAGCAGTGTATGATTAAGTATGTTGTGGGAATTACAGCCGGGGAGTTTCCGGAGCAACAGCAGCAGTAGTAGGTGATCAATTCCCACACAGACCAACAGCTATTTCGAGGTGAGTTTCCTTCCAGTAGTAACGGGTCTAAGGCACCAAGGCCGGCCCGTATAGACGAGACGTTAGTATTAGAGTGTGGGCCGAGCCCGTATCTCTTAGTTGAGTTGATTATGACATATGCCAGTATGATAGAATTGTTTACACTTGTTGTCTGTGCGATACTTGTATGATATGAGTTGGCGGTTGAGTGTGGGCGAGGCCCGTATCTCTCTGAGAATGGAGTGTGGGCTAGGCCCGTATCTCCCAGATAGCAAAGTGTGGGCGGGGCCCGTATCTCTCAGAAAGCGAAGTGTGGGCGGGGCCCGTATCTCACGAGTGTGGGCGTGGCCCGTATCTCCTAGTTGCATGTTGTTTGTTAAATGCTTGCATGGTATGGGGTATTATGGGGGAGCTCACTAAGCTTTGTGCTTACGGTTTCAGTTTTGGTTTCAGGTACCTCCTCAGCTAGGGGAAAGGAGCCGACGCGGTAGCAGCATGTCACACACACACTCTTCGGTTTCCGCATTTACGAGCATTTCTGGGATTGATACTCTGATATTCTGATTAGTTGTATGTTTTGGTTTTCAGACATGGTTCAGTTTATATTATGGATGATCGAATGATGTTTTAGTTATTAATATTTTCTAAAGTAACGCTTTTAAACAAAATTTTTCTTTGGTGTGAAAATTGGGTCGTTACAGTGCGGGTTATCTAGTGTATGTAGTGGATACTCGGGTCAGGGATCAGAGTTCAGTATCAGAGGTTCTGGTGGTTAAGGAGTTTGGTGATGTATTTCTGGAGGAGTTTCCCGAATTGCCTCCGGAGAGGCAGGTCGAGTTTAAGATTGACCTAGTGCCAGGTGCGGCCACTATCACCAAGGTGTCGTACCGGTTGGCACCACCAGAGATGCAGGAGATTTCATCACAGCTACAGGAACTGTTGGGCAAGCAGTTCATTCGTCCGAGCAATTCTCCATGGGGAGCACCGATCCTCTTGGTCAGGAAGAAAGATGGTTCGCACCAAATGTGCATTGATTATTAGGAGTTGAACAAGCTGACGGTGTAAAATTGTTATCCACTCCCGAGGATAGATGATCTCTTTGATCAGTTGCAGGGAGTATCTTGGTTCTCCAAGATAGACCTGAGGTCCGGGTACCATCAAGTCAAAGTTAAGGAGGAGGACATGGAGAAGACCGCATTTCGGACCTGTTATGGACACTAAGAATTCGTCACTACTAGAAAAAAAACCCTTTAATGACGCACAAACAATGACTCGCGGTGATTTACGATACGCAAAAGTGTGTACCCCAAAAATAATGTCATCTATTCTAAAATTTGAAGGATAGAAGGCGCGCGTTTTGTGCGCGCCCTAAAATTAGTGTCAGAAAAGAAAAAAAAAAGAAATACGGAGGATGCCTTTCATAAGATGTGCGTCATGTAAGTGTGTCGCTTTATATTTTTTTTTAATGAAACACGTGTTTCAAGCGGGAAATGAAATCTCAAAAATTAAAACCCCGCCTCCTCTTCCAATTAGCAAGAAAGAAGCCTAGGGTCTTTGTCTTCCCCTCTCTCTCTCTCTCTCTAACCTAAAACCCAACCTGCGATTTCGTAGAGATCTCCCATGGCTGTAACAAATATTGTCTCGTCTCACTGATCTTCGCAGCGATGGTGGTTTGAGGGAAAGAATATGGCAGCGACGGTGGCTCCAAAGAAAAAAGACGCCACATCGGTGAATTTAGGGATGGAAGATAACAATGATGAGTGGGTCAACCCTCATGAAATCGATCCACACTTGCTACTTTTCTCCTACCTTTCTCTCCACCCTTCTCTTTCACCATAATCATCTTCTTATTCATTCACAAAATATTCAACATGAAAATCTAATCGTTGTTTCATATTTCATTCATTCATATAAAGCCCCGATATTTCAATTCAATTTTGAACCCTACCTAAATCATCATCCTGGAAAAACCCTAGCACATCATCCCTAAAACGCCCAATAGAAAAAAAAACCCAGAATTAAATCCCTAATTGATTCAGATGATGAGAACTTGGATGAAGTCGCACCTTCTTCACCCTCCGATTCGACTTCATGGCATTGTTGATTCAAAGTTTTAGGTAATATTTCTTGATATTGTTATACTCTTATCTCTTCAACTATCTTCAATCGTTCGCTTCAATGTCTCCAGTCGATTTCATTATCTTCAATCGATCGAAGTGAAAGATGCCTATATTTTCGGAGTTGATTTGTTAGGTTTCGTTCACATCCCTATGGAGGAGACCGCGATCTCCTCTTCATTCCACGATCCCCACTTGTACTCTCTATGCATCTCAGGTATTCTTTGTTCCTTCTCCCCTATTCTCATTCTTGTTTGATTTCTTAGGTTCGACACTTCTCAACAACATTCGTCGACTTACTTGTAGATTTCCTTCAATTCGATGTTTCTCTTAACCTAGGAAGCGTGAATCTGGTGGTTTCGAGGTTCAAGATGTGTCGGTTCCTGATAGTGTCGACGGTGGCGACTGCGAGGAAGTCGAAGTTGGCTGAAACAATTGTGCTAGGTTTTAGCAACAAATATATGGACATCCATATACATATTGCGATTTCAAAGTCATCTTATGAAATCAACATTCCCTCAATTTCAATTTGATGCAGGTAATACACAACCAACTACAAGTTTCTCTCTCTCTCTCTCTCTCTCTCTCTCTCTCTCTCTCTCCCCCCCCCCCTCTCTCTCTCTCTCTACTACTCGACAACCACCCAGGCACCCACCACCCTTCCTCTTCTCTCTGGTTCACCACCGCCGTCAATAGAGCCCCATTATACATATTGGTCATGCTTTAACTGCTACTATCCAGGTTATTTTTTTAAAGAACTCTTACATTAGGAGATATGCAACAATTCTTGTGTACTTACTATTTTATGTTTCTCAACGTCAGCTCATGGATAGGATGTTTGATGAATTTGCAAATCTCTGGATGAAAATGAAGATTCAAGTTAAAACCAAAGAAGAGCTTGATTCAAAACAGTACATATTCAGACCTCGTGCTTTTGACATTAAAGATGTCATTGAAATGGACGTATCTACCCTCGAAAGTTCGATTGCCAATGAAGCTTTCTCAGAGTGGAAGGAGTTGGCTTCAGAGGAAGTATCTGTTGAAAGTGAAAAGGTAAGCATTCCTCTTGCTAACATTTGTTAATGCAATTGTACTAATGGAAGAAATTACTTCATTTGTTAATCGAAAAATAATTTGGGTTTGATACTGCTGTAGAGGAAGCTCAAAGAGCAATAAATGTTGCACATGTGGAAGTGGAAAGTGTTGAAAATAGAGTTGGAATAGTGAAACTTATGGGTCGATATAGTGGCAAGTATCTATCTTCAATCTCCTCATGAAATAATAAATTGTTAAAAAGTTAAATTTTTTCTCTCATTTATTCTTCCAAACTTGTTTGACCTTTTTGAGGATTCATTGCCATGTTTGCCATGTTGGCAAGGCGAGATGTGGTAACTAAATAACAAATTTGTAATATTATTAGTTTTATTAATCTGTAAATCAAGAATAAAATAGATATGTTAATAATAATTAATAGGTGTTATTGTAATTGTAAAACAGGATTTCTGCTTGATTCCAGAGTCTCCATTCTATCTAGAAGGGCAAGGTGGTCTTTTTGAGTTCATTCAACATAGACTTAAAGAGAATGGGCATGTGGTGACTGTGTTAGCTGAAGGAGCAGACCAAGAATATGTTTCTGAAAGTGTGAATGCAGTTGAAGAGAGAGAGAGATGCATCTGGAAATAAACTGCTTATTGACATCAACTTATTAGATCATTAGTGGGTGATGATGACCCAATCCCAGATGTGAGGAAGCCTGCCAAGCGACAGTCTGGTAAAGGTTGGTTTCTCTTCAATTTCTTGATTCTTTTACTTATAACAAGGTTAAGGATTACCTTTTCTTTCTGTAACATTTGCAGGTATTTTTATGAAGTATAGAAATTCAAGAGTCTCATACACAAAAACTAGAAGAAAAACTATAAATAAAAAATTCTGAAAATACCCCTGTATCATATTTTTTGATTTATCCTAACAGTTAATACAAACGCTCATTATCTGCAAGGCCGTCTATATCTATATCTATGCCTGAATATAATAATACAATAGACATGTTGATGAGGTTGCTTACTAGTACTAGAGAGGATTTTTCCTTGAAAGAGTTGATGGAATAATTTTTAAGAACATGTAATTAAATTAAGCAACATAAATATTGGTACTATATTGTAAGAACACGAACGGCGACTCAAAGCAACTCCAACTGATTCCAGTAAATTTCCAAGAAGACATGCATAACCAGGGAACTCAGCTGATATGTCAACAGGTAATATTTTTTCATAATTTTGACTACATGTTGCCATTTTATGAAGATAATACTGACATAGCCCCTGTGAAACATAAGTCTAGACATAGAAACAATGACATATTTCAATATGTGGAAGCCAAATAAAATAGACAGATGAATTGATGAAATGTTTTTACAACTGAATTACCTCCTTTAGGTGAGGAAAAATCTTCCATAGAAAAGGAATTGTTAGAATTTGGGAGGCAAAACTCCATTGAAGGTCAATATCTAGACAAACACAATACCCTTGACTAGTATGAGTAACAACTAGGGCAAGAACACGCTCCATTAAAGATACACTTCCAATTCGGCTTTCAGAGTTTAAACTTTCCTACAAAAATTTAAATAGGTAACAAGTAAAAGATAAGGTAAGACTAAAACAGGATGCAGATTTTAAAAAACTAAAACATATTAACAATTAACATAACCTTCCTGTAATAACAATCTCCCGGAAAATCTTATATATGTTTTGTTGCAAAAGATAACTGGCTATCTTACAAGACCAAGGAAGCTTGGGATCAATCAACAATGCAGCTGCTTTCAACAAGATACTTGTTGGTGTATTTGAGTCCAAATATGTTGATAACAATTGATGAACAACTTGTAGCTTGACAGGTATGCATGCTGTTTACATTTAATTTAGGGTGGACTTGTAACATGATTGGTTTATTACTTAGAGATTATGATGGAAAAGTTACTCATGAGGAAATGGCATCTGCAGCAATATACTTGAAAGATAATTTAGGCAAGGAAGGAGTTCAGGAGCTTATCAACAACCTTTCCAAAGAGAAAGGTCACCCTCGTTACATTACAACTTGTAAAAATTTACTCCAAAACAGAACGCACTTGATTCCCAAAGATAAAGTTCCATTCATTTGGCAACCAAACAAAGCTCAAATTCCAATTCCTTCAAAATCCACACCACACCCTAATAACTTTGTCTTTATACCCAACAACATGACTTGTTTTGGTATGTGTATTGTATGACAGAGGGGAATATTCTTGTTGAAGACATAGTGAAATTGGGCAGTCGAGCAGAGGATGCTGACTGATTGATCTCAATTCTCTCAACAACCACAGATGAGATGAATAATGGTATTGTATTCTTTTGTTTGATTTTAGATGTAACTAACTAGTATATGTATAACTTCCAATACCTTTTTTTTTACTTTTTGTAGCCAGATTGTGAGGCTAGCTTGCTGAGTGAGTGAAATGGTTTATTTTTTTAACCCTGATCTGTTGTTGCTTAGGCCTTGTTTATTTTTTCTTATTCTTGTGGAACCAATGAGCAAATAAAGTATGTTTTTTATCAAGCTGTTGTATCTATTCAGACTCGGCTTAGAGAAATGGTTGCAAGAGATGAGTTCAGAAGAAGAAGAAACAAGGCTGCAACTATAGTTCAGGTACTATGGATGAATTATGTTTGTAAAGTATTTAAGAAAATGATTAGAAATAGGGTGAATTTGTACAGATTAGTTAGCTGCTTGTAGGTTGATCTTGAAAAAACAAAGGGGAAATGGATTGTATTTTTTGTATCTATTTTGTTTGTAAATTTTTGTTACAACTTCTATTGATTTGTTTCATCTTTCCATGGAACGATTATTTGTATGACATTAAATTTATGCAATGGATTCTATTTTTTGTATATGATATTTTATTTTCTATTATGAATCATTAAATACAAATTTAATTTGAAAATAAGTAAATCTATAAAAAAATATATTTTTTAAACATTTTAAATTATGATACGCAAAAATGTGTGTCATCTTCATTTATGACATGGCCTTTCTTGATAGGGGCTTTCTTCATACGCATTGCGTGTCATTAACACACGCGTCGTAAGGTTACGACACGCGAATGCGTGTTGTCTTCCTTTATGACAGGGCCTTCCTTGATACGCATTGCGTGTCGTAAAAGCGCGTCGTAATTGTGCATCGTCAATGAGCGTCGTAAATGTGTGTCGTCTATAGACGACGCACAAAAGCGCTTCGTCTCTCTTCATGGCAGGGCCTTCCTTGACGCGCATTTGCGCGTCGTCTGAGCCTTTTACGACGCGCAATCAGCATCGTAAAAGGCTATTTTTCTAGTAGTGCGTAGTGATGCCATTTTGGCTCACCAACACCCCAACAATATTCATGAACCTGATGTATCGGTTCTGCAGACCGATGCTCGATCGCTCGGTCATCGTGTTCATAGACAATATCTTGGTATATTCCAAGACCAGAGAGCAGCACGAGGAGCATCTTTGGGAGTTATTGGGAGTTCTAAGGTGGGAACGGCTTTATGCCAAGTTCTCGAATTGTGAGTTTTGGTTACAGGAGGTTCAGTTCCTCAGACACCGTGTTAACTAGGAGGGGATTTTGGTCGATCCGACCAAAATCGAGGCGGTTATGCAATGGGAGGTTCCGAAATTTCCTTCGGATATCAGGAGTTTTCTAGGATTGGTAGGGTACTACCGGAGATTCATACGGGAGTTCTCCAAGATTGCAGTACCCCTCACTTGTCTGATGAGGAATGGGGTGGATTTTCCGATGGGGCCCTGAGCAACAGAGGGCGTTTGAGACTCTCCGACAGCGATTATGCAAGGATCCAGTATTGACTCTCCAGGAGGGAGTGGAGGATTTTGTAGTGTTCTGTAATGCATCTATCACGAGACTAGGGGCGGTCCTCATGTACAAAGGATGGGTGATAGCTTACACATCGCGTCAGCTGAAGCCGCATGAGACAAGATACCCTACTCATGACCTGGAGTTGGGAGCGGTGGTATTCGCTCTCAATATTTGGAGACATTATCTCTACGGGATCTGTTATACCATATACACGGATCACAAGAGCCTGAGACACATCATGGATTAGCCGAACTCGAACATGAGACAGTGCAGGTGGCTAGATGTAGTCAAGGACTATGACTGTGAGATCCATTACCATCTAGGTAAAGCGAACGTGGTGGCGGATGCTCTGAGCCGCAAGTCAGCTGGATCTTCCACACCAGCGACATGTATGAGGATATCAGTGGATTCTCCACTCGTGAGTTTGATTAGAGAGGCTCAGGCTGAGGGCATGCAACCAGAGAACTAGAAGCTAGAGAGGATCAGGGGCGAAAATGTCTGATTTGTACAGGATAGCAGAGGATTGTTGACCCGATGCGGTCGGGTATTGGTTCCGATGTCTGGTGGGGTCAGGCAGGTGGTTATGGAGGAGGCTCATAAGTCTCACTTCTCTATTCACCTGGGAGCCACCAAGATGTACCAGGATTTAAGTTTGAGCTACTGGTGGTCGTGCATGAAGCGAGAAATCACTTGGTACGTCGAGAGGTGCTTGACCTACAGGATGGTCAAGGCCAAGCATTAGAGGCCACATGGCAAGCTGCAGCCTCTAGATATTCCCATGTGGAAATGGGAATAGATCACCATGGACTTCATTACCAAGTTTCTGAGGAAGACAAAGGGATTTGATGCTATATGGGTCATCGTGGATCGATTGACTAAGAGTGCCCATTTCTTGGCCATACGGGAGAGTTCGTCGGCTGAGAAGCTGGCCGATGTTTATGTCTGTGAGATCGTTGCTCGCCACGGAGTTCCAGTCTCTATTGCTTCCGACCGAGATGTTAGATTCACCTCCTACTTCTGGAAGAAATTCCACGAGGAGCTAGGCACAAGACTGCATTTTAGCACAACATATCATCGATGAGTTGGAGCTGAAGGGTCGGGTAGGGCATGCCAGACTCGTACTGTGAGCTAAGGAGCAGTCCAGATACGAGATGAGGGCTGGGTAGGGCATACTAGACTCGTATTGTGGGCTTGGAGGCAATCCAGATGTGAGTTGTGGGTTGGGAAGGCAATCCGGACTCACACTATGGGCCCGGGGTAATCCAGTCTGTAAAGCTGCGGACCCAGTACATGTTGTTATTTGTATATGTGTTATTTGTAGTGTATCAGTATTTTGGGGGAACTCACTAAGCTTTGGGGTTACAATTTCAGTTTTTGTTTCAGGTACATCAGATGGTCATGGGAAAGCAAATGTGTGATCGTAAAACTCCTCATGTTTATGACTTATTTCTAGGACACTCTAATATTATACAATTTTGAAAACAAGTTTTGTAATTATTAATTGTTTTGAAATGTATTGAAAAAGTTTAAATTTGGCATGATTTTCATTGGTGTTACAGACCATCCTTACGAAGCCCTAATTAATTTTTGAGTGTTCTTGAGCTCTTTGTGCCATTTTCTGTGTGTTAGAAGCTTGAGAAGAAAGAAAAGGCTTGGGAGATCAAGAGAAGGCTAGTAGATCCAGAAGTTTTGGCACATTTCCTGCTTGTTTAAGGTAAAAAGCTTCAACCTTGACCATTTATCTCTTAGATCTCTAGTTAGGGCAAGTTTCTACCTTTTCTAAGATTTAGTAGAGCCATGTTTGGGATTTTGTGGTTCTAAGGGGGTATAACTTCAACTCTTGAACCATTGAGGGTCCGTATGGCATGAAGGTGCCTAATTTATGGCCATGGGAGTCCCATGCACCTTGTGGACCTCATTTTTGGGTTTTTTGAGCTTGAAGACCCATGCATGGATGTAAAGTTTGTGACTTTACGTGTAATAAGGACCCTAGGATGTTAGATCTATGTTTTGGATGCATTAATGCCGACTGAAATCCACTGAATAGTTTTGGACATGGAGGGACTCGGCGAGTTGCTTATACGACTTGGCGAGTCAGGTTGCAGTTTCCTCCAAACCTTTTTTTTATAATGAGCAATGTGTTGAGTTGTTAGAAGACTCAACTAGTTGGGTTCATTGTGGACCTGATGGTTATGGAACTCGGCGAGTTCAAGAACAAAACTCGACGAGTTCAAGACTACGTCCCAACTACATGAAGAAGAATTCGACGAGTTCATAGGGAAATCGGCGAGTCTAGGACCAAACGTGCCAACTTACAATGAATAGAACTCGATGAGTTCAAGGATGAACTCAGCGAGTCAGTAGTAGAAGGTCCCGATTTTGTATGAAGGAGAACTCGGCGAGTTATTGAAAGACTCGGCGAGTAGGGTCGAAGCTTTTAGCATTCTAAGGATTAGGGAACTCGGCGAGTTGGTGGATCAACTTGGTGAGTTAAGTCAACCAGATGTTGACTTTCACTAAGGTGTTGACATTGACTTTAACCTTGACCTGAATTGACCCTTGAAAGGGGTTAAAAGTTTGAAATGCTAGTTAAAGAGGATTGCTATGTGTAGGAGTTGAGATGAGTTAATCCTAGCAACGAGGACAGTTCAAACACTTCACAACATTGAGGTGGGTTACCTTCTAGTAGGAGTGGGTCGAAAGCACCAAGGACGACCCACTAATTAGAGTTATAGTAGAGATAATTGTCTGGTATGTTGTTACCTGTTATACTTATGTGTTAGCTTGATATGATGTTATTGATAGTAGGGGGAATAGTCCCCAAGACCGGTCGATAGGATCAAGGGGTAGGTTGGGTGCCCCGGTATGCCTAACAGTATGATTATGTTATGCTTTTATTTGGTAGTAGCAAGGGTCAAATAGTCCCCGTAACCAGTTGAGATAAACCGGAGGGGTAGGTCGGACACCCCGGTATGTCTGATAAGGGTAGGTTAGGCACCCCAGTATGCCTAGCAGGGGTAGGTTGAGCACCCCGATATGCTCAACAGGGTAGGTCGGGCACCTAAATATGCCTGGCAGTATGTGTTATGTATGGTATGTAGTATGATGGGGGAACTCACTAAGCTTCATGCTTACAGTTTTTAGTTTTGTATTCAGGTACCTCTTCATCGAAGGGGAAGGAGCTGGCACGGTAGTAGAGCATCACACACACTAGATTTCCGCATTATGAGATTCATAGGATTGTACTCTGACATTATTTCTATTTTTATGATATGGTTTTGAGACATGTGATTGTGGTTTATGAAATGATATGACTTGATGATGTTTTCTTATAAATGTCTTTCTAAAACATTATATCAAAAATGAAATATTTTGTCTTGAAAATTGGGATGTTACAAAGGTGCATTCCATTGAAGCTTGACAGACATGGCCCTCTAGTTCCA